GGAAGTCTGTAAGCCATGGTATAAGACTTCTCCGAAGCCCGAGGTCAATAGCTTTGTTGATGATTATATTGTGGTCGACTAGGTCGAATGCTTTAGTGAAATCAATGAAGGCGACAGCTACAGACGTTTTTCGTTTCTCGAGATGGCGGTATATGTAATCGAGAAAGCTGACAAGACAGTGAGTGGTGGAGGAAGTTTTCATGTTGCCAAATTGCTGAGGGTCTACGACTCCTGCAATATCAGCATAAGCCCAGTTGAACACAAAACTTTCACAGATTAGGCTGGGTATTGGGGTGATTGCAATAGGTCGTAGCTGATTTAAGGATTGTGGGCTGGTTGACTTGGGCACTGGTGATACATAAGAGGTCTTCCAGTCAGCTGGGCATCTGGCTTGACTGAGAGAAGCATTGATGATGGAGCATAGGGGTTTAGCAAGCTCCGGGGAGAACTCCTTGAAGAGTTTCATTGGTAAGTCAATGGGGGTGGTAGAGCGTTTTAATTTTAGTTTGTCCAGGCGTTTTGCTACTTCAAATTCTTCTACTAAGTCAGTGGGAAGGGGGGCTGATAGGTAAGCAGGGAGAGTGGTTGTGTCAAGCCGGGGGAGCGTCTGGCATATAGTAGCGAAATGGTTATTTGTTTGCTCAGCTGCGTCAACATTAGTGAGATGGCTAAGGAAGGGGAGAGGGTGTTTCTTATTGTTTAACCTCTTCCCCCGATCTCTTACTACTCTCCGAACTTCAACTGACCAAAGCAGCTTCACCCAAATCTTTTCAAGTCTCTAACTACAACCTTTATACCTACTTCCGTTCTAATGGAGGTGTATGCGCCTACTGCAATACACGTACACCTATAGCCCGACTCACGGATCTTGAATCTCCCCTTTATGATGTCATCTGGCTCAAAATATCTCTACCTACTGTGACTATTTTTCTTTGTTTCCTATACTGTTCTCCCAACTCTACCAACTATTTCAAACTCTTTGACTCTCTCACTTCTTGCCATGAGTCGTTGCTATCCACACACCCCTACACCGAGATCCTCTACCTAGGGGATTTCAATGTACATCACAGAGAGTGGCTTGGCTTTGCAAGGTATGACCCAGGTGGAGCTGAGGTGCTCTCTTTTTCCTTACTTAATGATTTGGAACAAATAATCAAACACCCTACACGCGTTCCTGATCGACACGATCAACTTGCTAACATTCTTGATCTTTGTTTTACCTCTAACCCCTCACACTATTCATACTCAATTTTTGCCCCCTTAGGGTCTTCTGATCACAACCTTATTTCTATTAAATCAAACTGGGCACGACCACCTCCCCCACCCCCCTCTAAACGTCAACTATGGCACTATCGGAGGGCAAGCTGGCAATCCTTGCGAGAATTCTTCACCGACTTTCCTTGGGATGAATATTGCTTTTCCACTCGGGATGCCTCAGTATGTGCTGACAGCATTGCTGGGGTTATACAGGGCGGTATGAGTGCATTTATCCCATCTTCTACCAAAACTTTCACATTACAATCATGGTTTGATCGCTCCTGCTCTCTTGCTTGCAGGTTGAGAGATAGGGCATATCGAGCTATGAAACTATCTCCTTCTCCTATTACCCACACCTCTTTCATTACTTCTAGGAATCGTTGTAAGGCTATTATTCGTAGGGCCAAGCGGAGTTTTATTAAAAGAAAGACTGCTGTCCTGACTAATTCTTCCTCTAGTAAAACCTTCTGGTCCTTAGCTAAAAACATCTGTAACAACTTCTGCACGCCTTCTTTTCCTCCCCTCTTCCGTCCCAATAACTCTATAGGCAACTCTCCCCCTGAGAAAGCCAACCTCTTTGGCACCTTATTCTCCTCTAATTCCACCTTAGACGATTCCCACTCTACCCCTCCTACTCCTGCACCTCCTACTGAACCTATGCACTTTCCTATAATCTCCACTCGCAGGGTTGCCGGTGTGTTATCCAGGTTGGATGTGAGTAAAGCGCATGGACCGGACGGAATACCCCCTCGTGTTCTGAGGGAGTGTGCTGAAGCCCTGGCCCCTGTGCTTGCTCGCCTCTTTTGCCTTTGCCTCAAAACCAAAACTTTTCCTTCTTCTTGGAAGCATGCCTTGGTTCAGCCCATCCCGAAGAAGGGTGACCATTCTAATCCTTCTATCGCCCCATTGCCTTAACTTCATCCCTCTCTAAGATTTTCGAAACTATCTTGAACTCCCATTTTCTCCGTCACCTTGAACGCCTTTCTCTTTTGTCGGATCACCAGTATGGCTTTCACCAGGCGAGATCTACTGGTGATCTGCTCTCCTATTGCACCCATCTTTGGTCATCCTCTCTTAGGGATTATAGGGAAACTTTTGTCGTGGCCCTCGACATCTCCAAAGCATTTGACAGGGTATGGCACAAGTCTTTGCTATCTAAACTTCCCTCTTTTGGTTTCTCTCCCCCACTTTGTTCTCTCATCTCTAGCTTCCTTGAGAATCGATCCATGGCAGTTGTTGTCGAGGGATCGATTTCTCGCTCTTTCTCTACCAATAGTGGCGTCCCACAGGGTTCTGTTCTTTCACCAACTCTCTTTCTTCATTTTATCAATGATTTACTTCACACTACAACTAATTCTATCCATTCTTACGCCGATGATTCTACTCTTCACTCTTCCTCACATTTTCCCCTTCCTCCTAACTCTCAAACTAGATCTGTTTCTAGAACTGATATCATTACTTCTATCAATGCGGATCTGTGCAGCATCTCTGAATGGGGAGATACAAGCTTGGTTAAGTTCAATAGTAACAAAACTCAATATTTACCAATTACACTTTGTAAAGCAGACGATCTCCCACCAATTACATTTCAGGACACTATCATCCTCCCAAATTCTGAAATAAATATATTAGGCCTCACCATTTCCTCCAATATGTCCTGGAAATCACACATCCTTAGTATAACTAAAGCTGCCTCCCGAAAGTTGGGAATGCTGTACAGATGCCGCAGCTCCTGAGCAGTTGCTCCAAGTATATAAGGGATTCATTCGTCCTAACTTGGAGTACTGCTCTCATATCTGGGGTGGCTCTTCTTCTGTCCAACTATTAGATAGGGTGGAATCAAAAGCATTTCGTCTTATTAACTCTCCTACTTTAGTCGACAATCTCTCTCCCCTTTCTCTTCGCCGCAATGTTGCTTCACTCTCTCTCTTTTACAGGTACTTTAACAGGCAATGTTCAGTGGATTTGGCATCCTGTGTACCGCCAGCAAGGCCGTGGGTTCGTAACACACGTCTTGCCCGCGGTGCCCACCATTTCTCTGTGGATGTCGGTCACACGAGAATAACCCGTTATAGTACCTCCTTCTTTCCTCACACAGCCAAACTGTGGAATGCTCTGCCTTCTTCTGTGTTTCCATGCTCTTACAATCTGTCTCACTTTAAAAAGCTGGTTTTCCGGCATCTTCGTGGTGTAGATTAATACAGTATAACCTTTTTTTCTATATTTTCAATTTCTTTCCGTTCTTTTTTTTTTCGCCCCCCAGGCTCCGTTGTGGGTCGTTTGACCTGTTCCCAGGTGGGCTAATTCCCGTAAAAAAAAAAATTAAACCAATCACAGCTAGCAGGGAGGGAGGTAAGGATGCTTTGCCCAATCACAGTCCGCTACGTCATATGACATCACCGATAACGCAACAAAGACATACACTGCGCAACCTACTCGCGCCGCTTACACAACATGGCGGGAGGTTTTTATTAAAAAATGGCGCGGCGCGAGAGGACCGCCAGCCGCTCTCCGTGTAAAGGGGTACACGCACCGCGGAAAGTGAGCATTCCGTGTTCGGCAGGGTACCGCGTAAACATGGAAACACGTAAAGTGGGACCGCGTAAAGCGAGGGTTGACTGTACAAACTTGTCACTTTTTTCTTTTTAATTCTTAGGTCTTTGACTTTATTTTGAGCACTCGTGAATTCTTTAAAAGAACTAGCCCTATATGACAAAAAAAGAGACCAGCTATTATAATTTATTATTATTATTCATAAATTGCTAGGCACCATTTTTCTTGATGACCTTGGAGCCATAAACACCCTATCATAGTTAATTTCAGCTGCCACAGAACTTGGTCAGACATAATATCTGAATTGTTAGGACAGTAGGGCCTCATTTATCCCAAATTCTAATAAAGAAAACACCCGATACCTGAAAAATCATGGACTCCAACCTTTCATCTATTATTCCATAATTCACCCATTATCCAAAAGTGCAATTGTAGTTTTGGAAGTGGTCACTACAGATATTGTGCAGAACTGTATGCCATAATAGGTGTGTCTTTAGTATTATGCCATAATGGATAATTATGGATGCTGTTGATTGTGGTTCCAATATTAGCAGAAATATAAATGGTAAAATATGATTACAATATTTGATGGTCTCTTGATCATCTATGCCTCGTAAATCAAACTCCGGTATCTCATTCTCACATGTTGTTTTTACTTTAGCTACCCTGGTTGACACTTAATTCATCAACATCATATTATTGCAGTCTTCATTTTGGAAGCTGATACATAGAGGATTTTTTTAGTAAAAACTTGTGTTATTTTCTCTCATTTTTTCCAACACTTGAAAAAGTGATAAGCGGGTCCCATAGGCATGATTGTCCATTAGGGACTGTGTTGATACAGTACACTGTATACTAAGCCTTAGGTACACAAGGAGGCAGCATGGCTGGTACTGCACTCAACTGCATCAACTCCCCAAGTTGTAAACTTAGATCTCCATTTAGAGTTGGGTAAATTGGGAGTGTCTGGGTATCGAGCCAACAATCGCATGCCTATGATACTACTGTATACAGTATTATTGTTATTATTATTATTATTATTATTATTATTATTATTATTATTATTATTATTATTATTATTATTATTATTATTATTATTATCATTTTTATTATATAATTATATTATACTACACAATGAAATAGGTTAAAAATAATTTTTAGGAATTTGACTCTCTTAATATCCATAACAGATGAATCAGTACTGGGTCCGGGCAATCTCAGGATTTGATCCAGTGTTCAACCAAACATCAATGCTTTGTGGTTGGATTGGTGGACCTGAAGCAGAGTACATGGAAGGGTTGAGTGCTGATGAAGTGGGCCAGGCATGTACTAAACTCCTCAAACTTTTCCTGGGCTGGAAACATATCCCTTATCCCAAGAAGATTTATAGGTATGTCCTGGTTGTGTTCTCCTATCTTTTCTTTTCTTTTAGTTTAGGTAAACCAGCACTTATCTGAGAGAATGTCATACTTAGAGTAATATTTTATTTTATCAGTTTCTAGGATCTTTTCTTTTAATGCAGTTTTATTACATTATATGTTTTGAACGCTGTATCATCTGCCTATACAGTAAACCCTCACTTTACGCGGTTAATTCAACCCACGGCGGCCCGTGTAAAGTAAGAAGTGCGTAAAGTGAACAACATAACATATGGGATTAGTTGAAATAGAGACCGGGCCGACCCCCAAACTCCACTTTTTCCCGACACAATACGTACGTTTTACTAAAAATAACATCTTAACTTTATGATGGTATTCACCCACACATAATATAGAAGGGAACAGTCAATAAACTGAAGGTTAGGTTAGAAAAAAACAAGGTTGGGGTTAACACTTACGTTAGTAGAAGAGATGAGTCGGCGTACGGGAATGGAGACTGGTTCCGAGGCAGAGGGCAGGCTACTGGCCCTCAGATGAGTCACCATCACTGTCATCCACACTTGTCAGGGCCTCCCTGACAAATCCCTCAAAGTCATAATGACTGTCTCTACCTCTGTCACTATCACTGGCTTGGGCTGGCTGTGGTGGGTTGCAGGCGAAGAACTCTGTTATGCTTTGCTGACGGCTGGTGTTTATGTTGTCTGCAACAGCTGGGTAGTGAAGATTTCATACCTGTTTGCGTCAGGGTCGTCGGAGAGGAGTAGCTTGACTTTTTCAATACACTCGATGGCACCCCTAACATTACTATGGGATAAGCGGCATTCTTCTTGGGATGACGCACCACCTGCCTCTTCACTGACGTCATTATCATCTACCATGTCGTCGGTAGTCACATCAGGATCCCTTATCACCTCCAGGATGTCGTCGTTGGTGGTCTCGGACAAGCCTGCAGCTGTAACACTCTGCGCAGCTTCTCTGGCAAGGTCCACTGCTACTGCAACAGTCTGAACCTCACCAGTCACAGATTGACTCTGCCTAACGCCCGGAATGCTTTGCAACACATGTCTCCATGCGTGACGAACAGTTGCTACAGACAGCTGATCCCATGCCTCCACCAAGAAGTCCACAGCTTTCTTGACGTTGAATATTCTCCAGAATTGTTTTAAAAGTATTTTTTGCTCTGCCAACTGTTGATCCTCGTCTTCTTCGCTCCTGCTATCGGTGGTGGTGTCACTCAGGTTACGCAACTCTTCCCTGGTGTTGGTGTAGTCGTTCAGGAGCTTGAATTTTTTAACAGAGAATGCAGCTTTTACATTACAGATTAACTCTTGGTCCATGGGCTGTAATATAGACGTAGTGTTGGGAGGAAGGAAGACCACTTTTACGTTGGGGTGACGATCTAACAGTAGGGGCGAGTGTCCTGGTGCGTTGTCCAGCAGCAACAAAATCTTGAATGGCACATTCTGTTGCTCACAGAATTTCTTCACATCGGGAACGAAACATTCATCAAACCAGGAGAGGGACAGTGTAGAGAACATCCACGCCTTACGTGCGGTCAGCCAGTGGACATTTAGCTTGTGATTGGTTTAATGTAACATGACGTGCCCTGCCACCAGAGGAAAGGAGTCGCTGACCTACCCGGGCCACTCTCATTGTTCTCAGTTCTCCGCGTATACAGTTATCTCTTGTGCCCGCTATTCCCCTCACAGTGGCTTCTGCTGGACGCCCACCACCCCAGAAAAACCTTGAACCTGGACCAAGCCATGATTATGTGAAGGAAGTTATCGAGTTGGGGGAGAAAATCAAGCTATCCTTGACAAAGACACTGTCAAGCATCGGCATGAAGTGTCTAATAACCTTCTGTCGAAAATTATTGAGCCGTATGTCCAAATGTATCACGACAACAAGTCAGTGATATTGACAGTGAAGATATGGACTTTGAGGAGTTTGTCAGGGAGGCCCTGCAAACCTCTGTGAGTAGTGATAGTGACTCACCGGAGGGAAACTAATCTGCCCTCTACCTCGGAACCAGCGGCCATTCCCATATGCCAACTCATCTCTTCTACTAACGTAAGTGTTAAACCTTGATTTTTCTTTTACCTGGTACAGTATATTATTCTCTTATTGATATTTCTCTTCTATATTATGTGTGTGTGCATCCCATCATAAAATTAAGATATTATTTTTAGTACAACGTACGTATTGTGTTGGAAAAAGTGGAATTTGGGGGTCGGCCAAGTCTCTATTTAAATTAATCCCATATGCTCTGTTATTTCGTTTACGCATTTCTCGTTTTACGCGGACCTCCACGGGTTCAATTGACCGCGTAAATGGAGACTATACTGTACTTAATTTTCCCATACAGTATTACCCCGCTTTACACGGTTTCACTTTCCGCGATTTCTCATTTACGCGGTACCTTGCCAGAACCGGACTTTCACTTGGACTTGTACTTTCCCGCGGTGCATCTACTCATGCGCGTGAAGTATAATTTATTTTTTATTTTATTTTTTATTTAGCTCATAAAATTCATACAAATTACCCTGCCAGAATATAATTTACCTTGCTGGAATTCTTACAATATGATGATCATTTTGAATATAAACATCATGGATTTTGCATTAGACATACAAATTTTAGATCTAATGTAATAATTTGGTTTACACAAAACAAATATTTTATCATTTGTGCAAAATATATGAAGTTTACATTCAAAATATTCCCTGACCTGCATGGAATCTAGAAATGTCAATTATATTATCCTAACTTTAGTCTGGGTTATTATTTATTACTAAAAATGTAAATATACTACTTTCTCCCAATCACTTCTCTGGTAGGGAGGGAAGGTGGGGGGTGGGGGGTAGGAAGGGAGGGAGGGCAGAGGTGGGGTATTTTGATTGACAGATAGTGTCCTTGAAGAATATTTCTTTGTTTATTTACTGAAGATATTTGTTTTAGCTCATAAAATTCATACAAATTACCTGGCCAGAATATAATTTACATTGCTGGAATTCTTACAATATGATGATCATTTTGAATATAAACATCATGGATTTTGCATTAGACATACAAATTTTAGATCTAATGTAATAATTTGGTTTACACAAAGCAAATATTTTATCTTTTGTGCAAAATATATGAAGTTTACATTCAAAATATTCCCTGGCCTGCAAGGAATTCAGAAATGTCAATTATATTATCCTAACTTTAGTCTGAGGTATTATTTATTACTAAAAGTTAAAATCTAGTTTTTTCACCCAAACATTTCTCTGGTAGGGAGGGAAGGTGGGGGTGGGGGGGAGGGTTGGGACCGACCAACCCAGCTGGCGTGAGTGTGAGGGGGCGGGGAGGCAAGGTGGGGTACTTTGATTGACAGATAGTGTCGTGAAGAATATTTTGTTTTTTATTACCTGAAGATATTTGTTTTAGCTCATAAAATTCATACAAATTACTCGGCCAGAATATAATTTACATTGCTGGAATTCTTACAATATGATGATCATTTTGAATATAAACATCATGGATTTTGCATTAGACATACAAATTTTAGATCTAATGTAATAATTTGGTTTACACAAAGCAAATATTTTATCTTTTGTGCAAAATATATGAAGTTTACATTCAAAATATTCCCTGACCTGCAAGGAATCCAGAAATGTCAATTATATTATCCTAACTTTAGTCTGAGGTATTATTTATCACTAAACGTTAAAATCTAGTGTTTTCACCCAAACATTTCTCAGAGAGGCAGGAGCTAGTGAGCTGGGAAAAGGGGGGGGGGGGATTTGAGTCCATTATTTAAATGGACATTAACCTGGCGACTGTATTTCTCTTAAATATTAATTGTGTGAGCATACCATCATAAAATTTAGATGTTATTTTTACTACAGGTTGTACCTCTCTAGTCCGGCAACCTCGGGACTTGACCGGTGCCGGACCATGGAAATTCACCCTTTTCCTGGATAGATAGTGACTTGTGCTTATGCCTGGAAGCACTAGCACCACTTTCTCTGCATCATGGTCTCTTTGAAGACATATTGAAGGGTTAAATGTCGTATAGTAGCTCCTCAAATTTCGCGAGTTTTTAATTCTTAACGTATTTTATTGGAACACACACAAAAATAAATAAATAAAAATTTTGACGGCGGAAACTTGAATTTCGACGGGTTTGAACGGCCCGCCAACGTGCAGACGACGTGCATAATCGTGTAAACAGCGTCATTTCTCATATGTACAAAAGATTCATTATTGTTTATTACTGAATGTCTTTTTTATTGAATTAATGTTTATGTGTGCAAAATGAGCAATACAATTCATTAATAATACGTAGAATATTAAAACACACGAGGAAATGACACAGCATTGTATTCGTTGATTACAAAACCAGTGACTGACTGGTTCTACATATAAAACTGGTTGTTTTAAGTAATGTTATTTAATGTTAATAAATGGAACAATAGAAGTAGCTAACGATAATGGTAAAGAAAAAAGAGAGATCGCATATGTTAGTGCGCATGCGCACACGTGAAAACATATCATCATTACTTTACATAAGAATATGAAAGCAACACTTATTTACTGTTCATATATATTTTAATTAATGTTTCTGAATTTGTTTTTATTGAATTAATGTACGTGTATGCAAAATTAACAATACAATTTATTAATAATACGTGGAATATTAGAGGAGACAAGACGGCTGCCGGCATTGTTTATGTTAAAGCTTACGAAACCAGTGACTGATTAGTTCTACATATAAAACTGAAGAAAATAAGACCCTGAGTTTAGCTGTAGTAAAATTAATGTAAAAAAATGAATATGGTTGCTTGAAGTACCTGTAATGTTATTTAATGTTAATAAATGGAACAATATAAGTAGCTAACCAATAATGGTAAAAAAAAAAGTGAGACTGCTCGTATGTAAGTGCGCACATGTGAAAATATATCGTCATTACTCTACATAAGAATATGAAAGCAACACTTATTTACTGCTCATATATATTGAAGGGTTAAATGTTGTACTCTGTATAGACAAGCAGAGAGAGAGAGCAGCCGAACTGCCGGATGTAAACAAACCTTAATTTCCCGCGGCTTTTTTTTTTTTAAGGGGATTAGCCCACCCGGGAATAGGTCACTGACCCACATTAGGGCCTGAGGGGCAAAAATTTAATACTCCTGTAATAATAATAATAATTCAGATAAAAAAAAAAGAAAAAAAAAAAGCTGCCTATCTACCTATTGGACAAACTAAAATCGTTCCGGACCACGGGAGTTTCCGGACCACAGAATGCCGGACTAGAGAGGTACAACCTGTAAAACATAGGTATTGTGTCGGAAAAAGTGGAGTTTGGAGGTCGGCCCAGTCTCTATTTCAATTAATCCCATATGTTCTGTTGTTCACCTTACGCGGGTTTTCACTTTACGCGGTACCCTGTGGGTTCAATTGACCGCGTAAATCATAAATCGGGGTACTACTGTATATGTATATGATATTACTCAAGATTGATTTATTTTTTTTTTTTTTCAGATCTTGTTGGGCAAGTGATTTTTTCTCTCGAGGGTCATATTCCTATCATCCTGTTGGCTGTAACTGTGGGGCTGAAAACTCTGAGAATGATCTCAATATGCCTGTGTGTGCTGTAACTAAGGAAGGTGATAAGGTTTGTCATATCACATACTTATGCATGCATGCGTGTGTATATATATATATATATATATATATATATATATATATATATATATATATATATATACTGTATATACAGTTGGGTCTCACTTTACGCGGTTAATATAACCCACAGGGTACCGCGGAAAGTGAGAAACGCGTAAAGTGAACAACATAACATATGGGATTAATTGAAATAGAGACCGGGCCGACCCCCAAACTCCACTTTTTGACGACACACAACTATGTTGTAGTAAAAATTTTATCTTAACTTTATGATGGTATGAAAAAACAAGTAATATAGAAGAGGTTAGGTTAGGAAAAATAAAGGTTAAGTTAGGAAAAATAAAGGTTAGGTTAGGAAAACTAAAAGTTAGGTTGAACACTTATGTTAGTAGAAGAGATGGGTCGGCATACGGGGATGGAGGCTGGTTCCGAGGCAGAGGGCAGGCTACTGGCCCTCAGGTGAGTCACCATCACTGTCATCCACACTTGCCAGGGCCTCCCTGACAAATCCCTCAAAGTCATCTTCACTGTCTCTACCTCTGTCACTATCACTGGCTTGAGCTGGCTGTGGTGGGTTGCGGGCGAAGAACTCTGTCAGTCATGGAAGATTCTTCCTGTGGGGTGTTCTAGTTGTTGTTTTCTTGCACGCCAGTCATTGGTCATCTTAAGGTTTAAACAAAAAAAAAAATCTAAAAACCAGTTTTTGTGATATAGTCCAGAATGCGAGGTCGACATCCCACCCATCTCCACCCTTCGAGAGTTGACATTTGTTTACTGCTCGCTCACGGGCAAGAAATAATGGTGGCAGTACTTGTGATGGAGGGTGGGGTTGGGGGTTTTGAGAATTGCAATTAAATGCCAGGTAGCGACGTGTCCTCCTAATATTGTGTATTTAAGTAATTATTAGATGTTTTAATTACCTGCATGTTGGCCTGGCGAGTTAATGCTCGGCATTTACATACCTAGGTATAAAGTTAGGTGTCGCATTTTTGATTGAACAAAAATAATAATAATTCATATTTAAGGGTAAATTCTTAATTCAGATTCCAGTTTTGGTGTTAGCAGGAGAAGCCAACAGCCGAGCCTATTACTCCACAGTTCATGGTGCACTGCAAAGTGGAATAGCACAAACAACACATTATGTCAACTCTCGAAAGGGGTAAGTATGATCCTTTATAGTCTGCTGTTGGTCCAAGGAGTCATGTATATTTTCCCCTCAAAGCTACTGTTTGCAACAAAGGCTAACCCACTACATTGATGGCAGTCAGTTTATAAATGTTCAGGTGACGGGCAAGTCGAAGGGAATGATTGAAACTCGCCTTTTGAGAAATTCAATATTTATTGATGTGGTCAAAACCTGCAGAGAACAAGGCGTTCATTAGTATTACATGGTGATCTATCTGATACATAATTAGTTAGTCTCAGACGATTTCATCTTAATTACAATTGATTATTAAGCATAGTGACGTGATACAAAGTTCATAACTCTATTAATCTTAGTTACATTTCGTTCCGCATTGTCTTATTTCTCCAGGTAAGGCAGAAACAAGTAGGCATAATTAGTCTACAATATTTCAGTACTGAGGGGTATGTCATCACTTTGGCTGTACTTACAAGTGCGGGTCAATGCAAACTAGTATGGTGTTCCAAGGTACAATAGTACTACGGTATGCAAATTGTTCCAGCACAAAACTCGGCCAGGACTGAGAGTCGGTGTTTACCACAGAGGGCTGGTGGCTGCATGGTCCTCACAGCAGTGGCTGCACGGCCCTCACAGCATCACTTGAGAAGGCGATCTGCCTCATGGAGGCCATACGGCCACACCACACTTTAAACCATACACTCCCCAGAATCAGGGCATCTTGTTTGTGCAGGTTGCGTGGGCGGCGCGGCGCACGTGGTCCCAGGCTGATAGATTTAATGTTTGTTCGGGTAAGGCAACGCCAGCACTGTAGTTGAAGCCAGCGGCGATAACACAGTCACTAATCAAGTAATGAAGTGAAACCCTTTATCTTACAACCTAGCCCTTAAAGTATGGTCTAGGAGATGAGTTTCTCCACCCAAGGTTGATAGCTAAGTGAGCCTGGGTGCTAAGTAATTTGTGCATGCAGAACTTACCTTGTCTGTTATTGGGTACATAAGATTTTCAAGAACATGTCTCAATCCAGTTGTCTCCCTTTGGAGCCAAGCATTCCCTGGAAACTGCCACTTCATAATGGAGCTAAGTTGTGCTAATGTCAGGTGGAGCCGAAAGATAATTTGGCAACAGGAAGTGGGACCCCCCCTCCCTTTTTTTTACCCTAAACAGCAGAATTGGTTACTTTCCAGGTACCACCATGGCTGCATAACATTTTCCAGCTTGTTTTGTTTAAACAAAAGATTCAGGTACTGCCAGACCCAAAGTCATTCCACACACAGTACTGTATCTAGTAGGAGTGTTTTTCCATACATGAAATGATGTAGATAATGCAATATTTTGGTGCTGAAATATCCGACATGCCAATAAAATGAAATCTTGACCTAAAGTATGATACTACAAAATAAACCTTTGAAGTGGGAAGACCAGCAATGGGACCATTTATCTGACATGCTTGGGTATTGGGGATACTTTTTGGGGGGTGAATTTAGAGCGCCAGGCCTAATATGTACAATAAACTCTTAGTGGCTGCAAAGCCTCTGTTCAGATCACTAGATTCACCCTACAAGTATTTTACAACTGAATGCAGTATTACTAAAACTTAAAATTTTAAGCATATAACTAGCAATACACCTAATGAAAGAAATAAAAGAGCAAAAATTATACAACCTAGTGTACACACTGCTTCGTAAGCTCCACTGATGCTTGCCATAGCAACGGATTAGCATCAATTGTTTCACATATGTGTTGTTTGCGTCATCCAGGTTGGGTATTCCTTATCTAAAAATCCAAAATGCTCTGCTTTGAAAGTTTTTTTGAGTGATAACCCAATTTAGGGTATTGATGTAACGGGCCTAGTTTTCTCTTTTTATAATTTATTATCCAGATATTCTTTTCTGTTAGTCTTCTTATTTATTCATATACTAATATGTTCGTTGTAGCATTCTTTCCAATGAGTATCCTGTTTTATATAGTTATCCTTCTTCAATTCTTTACATATATACTTATTCTTATATATTCTTGCTTATAGTCTTATATGTTCTTTATCTCTATATACCTTATATTCTTATATATTCTTATATAAGTAACTCTTATGCTTCTCTGCATATATTTCCCAAGTCAATGTGCTTTCTTTTCATTTCATTTCATATATATTATAATCTCTTCCATATATTTTGTTCTAGTTATATTCTAAACCATGGATTAACCTGGGAAACCATGTCTTTCTTATTACCACACTTATTATACTTACAACGATAGACCTGCCACCCCCCAGGATTTTATTAGAATATAACATATCTTAGTTAACTGTTAGGTAGTAAGCTTCTAGGCACGTGAGTTAGTTATCTTCTGAGAACCAATGTGGGAAAGGATAGAGTGGTGATACTCGTAGATTACTAATTCAATATTTTTGAACACAGTGATTGGATAAGATGAATCTTAGATTCACTCAGACAAAACAGAACTGCATTTTATTTATTAAGTCATCAAACACTTCAAGAACTTATTACCTCATTAAATACCTCCAAATACTTATTACTTCAATCGACAATTGTGGTATTGTCACTCTGCCAAATGATATTCAGTACTGGGTATACACCAGATATCACTGGACCCTCAGGTCTTACTTTACTAAGTAGCAAATTAACTCTTCACTTCTTGGTTATATCATTATACTCTCAGATTATCATTTCATGGTCACTACCGATGAATACATAGCACACTGGACAACTCCACAATTATCACAACATAAAATACCTCCTGTTAATTCGCAAGGAACAACATGGCACTTTTAACTCTCATTCAGTGGTTCAATACTTAACCTGGGATACTATATTTCTGCTAGTTATCCCCCAAACAAGATGCAATAATACTTAGGCCCATGTAACTGTGAGGAGTGCCCCAGGGTAACGCTGGTCTCTACAACACATGAAGATCGCTGTTAGGGGTCGGTTGTAAACCGACACACACCCAGGGAGCTGGCGCCTGATTTGCAGGAAACGGACTTCCCAGTTTAATCCTGTCGAATTAACGGCATTGTCCAACCCGGTTACCGACCCACGTTAGCCGATGGGTATTCAGCTCAACACACTGGAGAGACGTTGAGGAAGAGTCACGAATGCGTAAATGTCTAACTTCAACTATACAAAACATACGTCTGGCAACGGTTCAGACGATATCTAAATCTCTACGTTACTCGATTTAATTGGCACAGAATTCACTATGTTAACACATGAACACTGATATTCACCAAAATTTACTAAGTTAAACTGAATTAATAGGCAGCGGGGAACACACGTTAACATACCTGGAGAGACACTGGGGAAGAGTCACGAATGCGTGATTCTCCCTCGTGTAGAGGTATATACGTGCAACCCGCGAGGCAGCTTGGACCTCCGTATTCATACCACAAGGGTCGATCTTACCAACAACATAACTTCTCTACCATTTTGGATCATTGTATACTTGGTTATGAACTCCGGTGTTCCTGATCAGGGTAATTTCCTATGTCTATTCATATAATCTAATCAGAGGTTGAGCTTGCCAGGTAAAGGTGGAATATACACGTCGATAACATTAATTCTGCAAGCTCAGGCCTGAGGCGAACAAGGAGCTATTCACGGGGAGGCGCTAGATCTTGGAGATTATACCAGTTGACAGAATAGTTCAGGAGATTAATTACTTTCTTAAATAGACAACTGACACTAACTAAACTATAAACATCAGATTCTCTGATGTCGGGGCGCCAAAATGATATAACTTCAGGTGCGATCAGAAACTCATGGATACCCCCACGGACGACATAAAATACGCCACTCTAGCTGGCAAACTCGACACTCACTTACTTGACATGTTTTACTAACAATAAGGACAGTTGAAGCGTTCTACCCCACTCACAATGGATCTTGAAAGTTCCAACTGTAAACAGACATATCTAAGTTGACTCAAAACAAGGATGTTCTCTCTCACACTCAAATTCATTTTATAGAGAGGTTGGTTTCAGTAAGTCAGAGAAAATGGGATAACGGAGGACTGAGGTGTCTTGAAGTGATGAGAAAACGGACTCCTCAGATGGAGGACTCAACGAAAGCCGAGTTACATGTTTTGTGGGCTATTGAGCGTAATATGAATCATTTGATTTTGGCGCTAACTGACGTGTAAGACCGTGGTCGTTACATTGAGACCTTCTTTAGTGTGAAATTTAGGTTAAGCAAAAATTGTGCAAAATTCGGGGACCGGGTAATCAAGGAATTCTTTGGTTATTTTACTCCATTTTTAGGATACCAGTAATTACTTTGTAGTAGTAAGTAAATGAATGTTAAAGTAATTTCACATTGGTCCGACTGTCAGTTTCTCAAACTGGTATTTATGATGTTTTTAAAGTATACTATACCCTAATTAATTTGACACAATAGGGTCGTGCGTCTTATGTGCCATAAAATAAGGTAATCACACCTACTAATTATAATCTCCATGAACTAAGATATGTGTGTGCTCATGCCTTTGTGGCTGGATAATATTATTTAAAAATTACTGAGCTGGCCTGGTGATCTTGACCCAGGTGGCACCCTCGTTTGTCCAGTGTTCCTGTCCGAGACAGTTTAGCTTGTTTTTTCTGTTGTTTTATCTTTTGTTTTCTTTTCCAGTTTAATTTTAATACCAGTTTAAGCCAATTTGGCATGGATCCAGCTCTCAATATTGTGGGTTTGCATTCTTGATGAATAAGAACACTTTTACCATGTTGCCCATAAAATGGAGTTTCATATTTAATACAGTAATACCCCGCTTTACGCGGTTTCACTTTCCGCGATTTTGCATTTACGCGGTACCTCGCCAGAACCGGACTTTCACTTTACGCGGTGCATCTACTCATATACAAGGGAAGCGGCGCGGGCAAGATGCGCACAAAGTCGCCCGGTCATCAAAACATTACCGAGTTCTTCACCCGCCACCCACCACAGCCGGCCCAAGTCAGTGATAGTGATGGTGAGGATATGGACTTATATGGACTTTGAGGGGTTTGACAAAGAGGCCCTGCAAGCCTATGTGGTAGATAGTGATACAATTGATACAAGTGATACAGGTGAGGGCCAATAATCTGCCCTCTGCCTCGGAACCAACCCCCCCATCCCTGTGTGCCCAGCCATCTTTTCTACTAATGTAAGTGTTAAAAAAACTAATATTATTGATATTTCTCTTAATTATTAATTGTGTGTGCATAACGTCATAAAATTAAGATGTAATTTTTACTACAACGTAGGTATTGTGTCTAAAAAAGTGGAGTTTGGGGGTCGGGCCAGTCCCTATTGGAATTAATCCCACATGTTCTGTTGTTCACTTTACGCGGTTTTCACTTTCCGCGGTACCCCATAGGTTCAATTGACCGCGTAAATCGGGGTACTACTGTACTTGATTTATATTATCAGTGATATCATATCCAAGCTCTGAAATTACTTATTTGTTGTACATTTACCAGTCAATGTGTGTACAGTCGACCCTCGTTAATTTGGACCCCTTTCATCCGGATAATTCGGACAAAATCTGAACTTTTTTTTTTTCTTTTAGATTTGTAGGAATATTACCTACACGGACCTTAAGCTAAAATGCTGGTCCACCCACTGCTGGGATAAAACACCAGCGTCTTTATGGTTAAATGTAACATCACCACCACTAGTGTGGGGGGAGGGGGGGGATGCAACTTTTAGCTTCAGACATGAAAAATATTTACCATTTACTGCCAGTAAACAATGGAAACGTAAAATATGTACCAATTCGTAATGAAAAGTTGTGCAGTTCCTTCAGCAAATGAAGCTCACCAACTTACAATAGGCTAAATTACCTTACAACGTGTTTTCAGTAGTCTATGTTGAAGTTCTTAGCACAGGCTGACTTATCATATCATATACGGTATCACAGTTCTCATTGATCTACAAAAAATACTGGTAATAAAATCCTTTTCGATATTTCACGCTTAATATAATACCCAGTAATCTACTTCAACCTCCTATTGTTTACAACAACGCATGACGCACCACCAGCTGTTGAGTATCAGCTAGACGGTACACGTGTTTTTCAAATCGTTTTCAGTTAAAAAACTGTTACATCCCATGTATATTTTACCTTAACTGTGCCTGAATGAATATATTCTCGGAAATAAATAGTAGTTTTGCTGAAACGTGATGTATTTTAATGTAAAATAGGATAAAATACATGACGAAAACAAAAGATTATACCTAACCTTCCGATGTTCAAGAGAAGTTACTCGTTTTTTTAATAGTTTTTAGTTAAAATACTGTTATATTACAATGGTATTCTATTCATACTGTGCTTGATATAATGCATTCACGGAAATGTAATTTTTTTGCTGAAATGACGTACGTATTACAGCGGAAAGTGGGATAAAATTGTGACGAAAACAATGGCTTTCGTTCAAAAGATGTTACCGTAATCGCTTTTCGATTGGTTTTCAGTTAAAAAACTGTTGTATTGCAATAATATTCTATCCTAATTGACTTGAATAAATACTACGATACCATATTTCTGAATATTTTCATTAAAATCCATCCAAATCATTTTCCTTGTCATCGTCTGCAGCACCAAACAGCTTCTCCCAGTCCTCTCCTTGAACAGGGGTAGAGGGTACGTGTTTTTCGAATCGTTTTCAGTTAAAAAACTGTTACATCACACGTATATTTTACCTAAACTGCGCCTGAATGAATATATTCTCGGAAATAAATAGTAGTTTTGCTGAAACGTGATGTATTTCAATGTAAAATAGGATAAAATACATGACGAAAACAAAAGACTTTACCTAAGCTTCCGATGTTCTTGAGATGTTATTCGTTTTTTTTAATAGTTTTCGGTTAAAATCCTGTTATATTACAATGATATTCTATTCATACTGTGCTTGATATAATACATTCACGGAAATGTAATATTTTTGCTGAAATTACGTACGTATTACAGTGGAAAGTGGGATAAGATCGTGACAAAAACAATGACTTTGAAATATAATGCAATATTAACCCCTAAATCGGTTAATTCGGACAATTGGCTAAAACGGACACCTTTCCCCCCCCTATTAGTCCGAATTAACGAGGGTCGACTGTATATGTACAGTGATCCTTCGGTTAACGAAATTTTGGTTAACAAATTACGTTCCATAAGAATATTTAATTCGGTTAACGAACAAAAATTCTGTTAACGAATTTTTTACGAAATCATGTCAACATGTTTTCGCTTGCTCACCAGCTGGAATATTAGTCCGTCAATACAGTAATCGGTTCTAGGGCTTAAATTCGTTCTCATTTGAGTAAATATCAAGAAGGTTGTACAATTCAATAATTTTCCAAGTTTTATATTAAAATTTTTAGTCATTTTAACACATATTTAACATAATTGAACTACAAGAAACTAGTTTTTGGTGCGTCAATCAGCCACTTGACTCACCCAGCAAGGCGTCAGTTTGTATCTCTGGTCAGTGGAGGTAACATCTTGCTTGTGACTCTCTTGAACATAAACTATTTTTACGTTTTTACAGTACAATTATTGGTCATTCTGAAATTTATTTTACATATTGACAATATATAGTGCAGTGCAGTGTTGATTTAAAGAAAATAATCTTGAATTACACCCAGTGAACTTAAAATTTTATGGGTGAAATAACGGCATGAAGCATGGGGTGATTTCTTTTCCACCCCCATTTCCTTCTCTTCTCCCTTCTCCTCCACCCCCACTTCTAATTCCCATCATCATCCTCATCAACCAGGAGCCTTCTACATACACACCTCAAAGTAAGTGTACTTTATTTCATTTATTTTTACTTTGTATGTAATTTTCGGTGAGCTGGAACCAATTACCCAAAATCCCATTGAAACAATGGTTTCGGTTAACGAACGACCTTCTGGAACGAATTGTGTTCGTTAACCGAGGGACCACTGCACTGTACAGAGTTCTGCATAATGTGGTCACTGGTTGTACTGTATATATTTTTGTCTAATATGCAGAAGGGGAATGTGTGATGGAGAAACATTCGTCTTATTTGGTATCATTCATCCCCCACTATGCATAAATTCACACTGTATATTTATGTCTATAGTTTAACAATATTGGTTTCCTAATTTGCTTATATTTACCACTTCAGAATTATTAAGGTTTAACAAAACTATTATTAATTATGTGGAGTCCTGATAATGATGCTTCATCAAGTAGCCAACTCTTCAAAAGTAAAAGACTTCAATCATAGAGCTATTACTAAACTAAAGAGGTAGGAAAAATCAATTGTCAAATTGCAAGCACTATTGTATTCTCATTAGCTTGGTGTGTAGGGCTGTTGAAGGACTGTAATGCAAACCCTGTCTTTGTATTTTTGCAGGTCACTTGGCAGTCATGTCACAATCAAGAGCAAATTGTGATTCAGCAGACTGTTGTCTAGTTTAGGTGTTTTGTCCTTTGTGGTTTTTTTTAGAACACTTGTTCTCAGGACGGGGGTGGCGATGGTCACCGGGGTTGTATGCAGGGCAGGATTAAGCTTAATAGGGGCCTGAGGCACAGATCAACTTGGGGCCCCCTACTCTCAAGGTATATATATATATATATATATATATATATATATATATATATATATATATATATATATATATATATATATATATATATATATATATATATATATATATATATATATATATATATATATATACACACACACACACAGCTAGACCCCGACTTACGACTGCTTCGACTTACGACCGTCGGGAACTTACGACCGCCGCAGATTTTTTATTAAATTGTTTTGTTTTTGTTTTTTTGAAATAATGCATGCATTTTCTATACCAAAACGTTTCCAGTTAATGTAGTCTCCATGTATAATTAGAAAATTATGGGGGCCCCATGTGCATTCAGCTGACTACATTAAAGGTAAGTGCTCAGTCACACTGTATCCATTCCTTATTATTTATTACTGTCACTGTACTGTATCCATTCCTCATTATTTATTACTGTTTACTGTACTGTATTTCATTGTAGATTTTTTTTTTTTTTTTAATATCTATGTCGGACTTACGACCTGGATTTGGGTCCCTAACCCCGTCGTAAGTCGGGGTCTAGCTGTATATATATATATATATGGTCATGGGTGGGCTTGGGATCAGTTCTATAAAAAGTTTTCTTAGTAATGTTTAGGCATTTGTCTATGAAAGGTCTAGGGTATTAAGGTTTGAGCCAATATTATAGATATATTTATATTCCTCATCGATGAATTCCGGACTGCAAATTCTCAAAGCACGTAAAAACATTGTTGAAAATACTGACTGTTTGACTCTATTATGGTGGGCAGACCATAAGAATATCTTAATATTACCATTTCACAAAAATTTCTCACACATTCCTTTACAACTAAAAACCTGGAATGTCAATGTGGCATTTAAAAACTCATGCACTGTTAAACAAATGTTAATCAAGAACTCCCCCAACAACACAATTGGTTGCATTTATAAAGTTCCTTGCAAGGAATGTAATATGTTTTACTTAGGCCAGACAGGTAAAGATTTTGTAACTAGACTTAAACAGCATAAATATAGTGTTAGGACAGGCCAGGAATTCAATGCTCTGTTTGTTCATTTGAGGGATAACAAGCATTGCATTGACTGGGATAATGCCTCCTCAATATTACCTTGTAATTCAATTGATAGTAGGAACATCATAGAATCTAGTCTCATTAAACATACCAAAGCATTCAACATGAATTTGAGTAATGGCATGTACAAACTGGACAATTTTGTAATTAAGAATATTAGTAACCAGGTGAGAAGGTTGGGTCACCTTACCCTCTGACCTGACTACCGACTGTTGTGGTGCTATTTAAAGATTAGTAGGGTCATTACCTAATACCTGACCATTAGTCTGTACTCACCCCTGAAGATGTGAATTACACGAAAGCACTTGGTATATATATATATATATATATATATATATATATATATATATATATATATATATATATATATATATATATATATATATATATATATATATATATATATATATATATATATATATATATATACATACATACAGTGGGGTATGCTATAACGAACGGATCCTACTACGAATATTCCTATAACAAACGGTTTTACCTATAAAATTGAGAATGCTATAACGAACGAAACTCCTACAACGAACATTATTTAATTTTTTTTTTCCACTAATTTATTGATTTTTATTACAAGTATTAATGATATTCTTTATTTCAGGGGTTTAGATGCATATGTATGCACTTTTTTACAATTTTTACAATTTTATATTATATTTTTCAGTGTTAAGTGGTTGTATTTGGGGGCCTGGAACGGATTAATCCTATAACGAATGAATGCTATAACGAACAAGGTTCTAGAACCAATTAGATTCGTTATAGCATACCCCACTGTATATATATATATATATCCTGTGAAAAAAATACATCGCTCTACACCGCTTATTAAATTGACGCTCATAAAACCTTACGTTATTAAATACTGTATTATGGTAGTATTTTCTCCTTGTTGAAATTGATAGATTAACAATAAAATTACACACGGAAATAAACACTAGAATTAGCGCCGATTTAATCTCTTAAGCCCCGGTGAATTTTGTGTATAATTTCGTATGGATGAATAATGTAGTTTAAATAAAAACAAATCTTTATTTATGTGGTGTATAGTAGAGGTGTGTATGGATGCATTATTGTGTTCTACACTGCCGTAAATGTATTGTCAGTTGGATACAATTTCATACAGTTTGTGGGGACAGCGAAGGTTTGGGTGTGCCATATGCACGAGATAACTTAAGATCTGTACATTGAATTATTTGGTATAATATATAACCTTCATCTTATTTCATATTCTGAATCTTTCTGGTGTGAGTGAAGAGTTAAAGCGGGTAACTGACCATGGTAAATCGCCTGTTAACGAGGAATAAGAGGAGAAAGAGTGAAATTGTGAGTCAGTGTTGGATGAAATTCTTGAGGTGACTGTGTAAGACTGTAAGGTGGGTGATCCCCCAAGAAGCTGGTGACAGTGTTGGAATGCATGCTTAATTATATAGAGTAAACTTCGCCTGTATAAATGGAAGTCAGGGCTAAACAAAGGGGGCAGAACAAAGGTACTCAAACTGTCCAACCAAGAGCGAACTCATAACAATGGTTTTAAATTAAATAAATTTAGATTTAGGCACAAAATAGGTAAACACTGGTTTGGAAATAGAGGAGTGGACGAGTGGAACAAGTTACCAAATATCATCATTAACTCAATACGGTGGATAGCTTCAAACATACTGTAGGTTGGATGGATATATAGGGGCTGGGTGTAAACTGGACTGCCCAGTATGAGCCAATAGGCCCTCTGCAGTTTCCTCTATTCTTATGTTCTTTTGCTAAATTTTTTCAGTGCTTGATTTTACGTTTTATGCAAATTATAAGAGCAGGTCATTTCGTCTGTGCGTGTAAGAGTTGGTTGGGACTGGCTGGTGGTGATGTGAGGACAAGTATATATTAATGGTATTATTAGATATTTATGAACTAGGAGGAGTAAATGTTTTGTTAGGTTATATTACACTGAAATCTCGTTGACACTACCGAGGAGTAATGTAGGTTTAAGGTACTGTACTATGGCTGTCTTGTGGTCGGTATATAGTGTATCAAAGGAGGGAATCTAAAAGGGGGGTATAAGAATCAGCGAGTCTTATCTACTTGGCCCAGGAAAACATAATGCACGGGATTAGTGTGTGCGTGTGTGCTGAAGTGTGACGGGAGGTGAGGTGAAGGAGGAATGATGCACTCAGCCACCAACACCAACACTCAAGACATGCCAATGATGGGTGTTGGCTGTTCTGTTCTTACCTCCTCTCCTCTACCTCCTCTTCTCTACATCCACTTCTCACCCACCAATTACATTTGACATTTCCTCCTCCTCACACACAGCTGTTGGCCTTCGTCAGGTATCCATGATTAAAAGTATTAGGTCTTTGTTTTTTTGTCTTCTTAACCACGACACTTCATTCAGGTTATTCTCCGCTGAGTTGATCTTGAGTTCGGTAATACAGTATCTTTCAACCTTGTATTATGCACGTGTTATGGAGACCGATTTTAGGGTTTTGCGATTTCCGATTTTAGGTTTTATAGTAGGGTCGATTTTAGGTTTTTATAGTGACCGATTTTAGGTTTTATAGTAGGGTCGATTTAAGGATTTTACAGTATGAGGGCCAATTTAAGGTACAATGACTTACGGCCATATTATTAAACATCTTCCCTTGAAGAATATCTTCATATCGAAAGCCGTATTTTTAAATGCGAAGAACCATTTAGTGCAGTGCCCGAAAGAGTGTGGTGGCATGAAAACTGCCTGTCACTGTGTTGTTGTCCAAGGGGAGGTGCTGGAGTCAACTCATCTTACTAACGCTAGTACTAATCTTTTAAGCACATTTACGGTAATTTATTAAACTTTTTAACAGTTTTATAAGTGAGTTTCTGTCAGGAAAATATAAACTAGTGACGTTCTTGCCTAGAAATATTCGAATGGATAGAGGCAAATTTCACTGTTTTCAGTGGAGGTAACAGCTTGCTTGAGACTCTCTTCAACTAAACTCTTTTTTTCTGTGTTTCCAAGCAAATTATTGGTCATTTTGAAATATATTTTACATATTGACAATATATAATGCAGTGCAGTGTTGATTTAAAGAAAATAATCTTGAAATATACCAAGAGAACTAAAATTTTATGGGTGAAATGGTGCCATGGGGTGACTTCTCTTCCACCCCAATGCCTACTCTTCTTCCTTCTCCTCCACCCCCATTCTAATTCCCATCATCATCATCCAGGAGCCTTCTACATACACACCTCAAAGTAAGTGTACTTTTCTACCTTTTTGTTGAATTTAGGCTATTTTTGGTGAGCTGGAACCAATTACCCAAAAACCCATTGAAACAATGGTTTCGGTTAACGAGGAACCTGCTGGAACGGATTGTGCTTGTTAACCGAGGGACCACTG